ACATTACTTGATTTTTATAAATTCTGCAAGATAAAAGTTTTGAAAATACTGATTAATAGTCAATATTCTAGTCAAGTTGCCAAATGTTTGTTCACATAATTTATATTTTTTACTTCTATCAGGTGTTGATAAAAGGTAATCTCTAATGAGTGCTCAGTTATTTGCAGATGAAATTGAGATATTACTTTGTGTTTGATTTGCATTGTTTAATAAAAGTATGATTTCAGTAGAAGTTTCAGATTCTTTGTTTGTGAATTTGATATTTGTTATGAGTTCAGATTTATTTATTTCTATTTTTTTTATTTTTTTTTCTTCTAAAAAGAGATTTTTAAATAATTTTGTGATAAATATAGCCTTTTGTTTTATCAAACAGTATTACTATAAACATGAACAATGTTATTATATTATTATTACATTAAACACAGATGATATTTCATATCAATAAAATTTTTACCTTTTATTATGCAAGATGTTAAAACATTAATACCTTTATTTTCTTTGTTTTATCAAATAGAAATAATTTACTTTGAAACAGTAATAATCATTTTAACCTGAATTAGATATAAAAAGTTTTAATATGTCCAAATATCTAATTCATGCAGTTTTTATATCCAATTTGCCCAATTACCATCTCTGCTTTGAAACATAAAAAACCTTTGGGTATTTGCAGAGTACATTACTTTTATTGAGGTAATATTCTTTTATGTAAACTGATTTCAAGACAAAGACAGTCAACAATTATAAATTATAGTTCATTCATGTTTAATTAACATATAAGTTTAAATTTACCTTTGTTATATATTTAATGCCAGAGATAGTTAAATTTCTTTAAGGAGTATTGTATCGCCTTTAGCATAGGAAACAACATTTTTATTATTCTAAAAAGTTGTGAATAAATCTCGTTTGTTATTAAATACTCAATAACGATAATTAATTACTAAATTTACTTACCTATGGACACATATTTAAATCCAGAGATAGTAAACACGACATATAGTTATCCTCTTGTCACTAATTATTAAACACGACAAATAGTTCCTCATTAACATCATATCCATATTATACTTAACCATAAATTATTCATTAAGGCGTATGCCTTTCAAAAACAAAACAAAAAAAAAAAAAAAACTTGCCAATGGCAAGAATTTCTTTTTGCCAAAGGCAAGTCTTCTTGCTATTGCAAGGGCACAAACTAACGTTCAACGAATGCAGATCTTGAAATTTATAAAGGGACCGGGTCCCAGGATTTAGGTCCCAAAACTGATCTGGGATTTAGGTCCCATATAACTATCATGTGACTTAAGGATCGAGTCCTTACAAGTCCTTGAAAGGATTGGTTAGGATCGGTCAGGACTCGGTCCCAAAGGACCGATTAACATCCCTAAGTAAGCAAACATAAAGTAAAATTGTCGATCATACGTTACTACTGCAATTAGAATCAGGATTATTTAAAGTTAACCTTGAATCGAAGGATGAATCCGATTTTCGTGATTCGTTTCAATAGGTGTACTCTAAATTACAGAAAAATTAAAAAACCAAGCAATTCATAATTTAAAGATATAAAAAAATCACTTTTTGTGTAATTTCCAAATTATTAAACTGTCAGAACACGAAATTTGGGGATTTTCTCATTTTCAATTGAGTTTAGTGTTTCGATCCGTAATCCGACTATCTGGATTGATCTTTAAATCCAGATTTATTTAGATATCCAAGTCAGAGATGTTTACTCGGATTGGTCAAAGAACTTAAATAACGGACCTAAAAATCGCCCAAAAGCTAGCTTTAATATATATATCTGAGGCGGATTCAATTCGGATTTAATATAATCCGAATGGTCTGTCAGAAATAGGATCGAAGTATTACAGCTGTTTTCATAAATTCTGGGACGCCTAAAAATTTATTCGTTTCCCGAAGTTTCGTTCTGTGAATTATCTAACTCTTCGGAAACTACGTCGCTATCTTCGGAACTTCGGTCCGGAGACAGCGACGTAGTTTCCGAAAAGTTAGATAATTCACAAAACGAAACTTCGGGAAACGAATAAATTTTTAGGTGTTCCAGAATTTATGAAAACAGCTGTAATTGAGATTTTATACGTACGTATGTACGAACTAGGGATGTTATCTGGTCCGGTCTTGAACCAATAAACCGCAGTCCGTCATAGGACCGGACTGGTCTGGATTAACAAAGTCTTAATACTGGAGACCATAATAGACCAGACCAGAACTGGACCAAAATAGACCAGACTGAACCAGATCGGACTGCTAACATCCCTAGTACGTACGTACATAATTTTGGAATTTGATAAAAATGCAATTCTCTTAAATCAATTACCTTATGACAAGACTAAAGATAATTTATTTTGAAAATTTAGTATACAATTTATTATTAAAATTATTATGTAAATATTGAAATTTACATAAAATCGTACGTATTAATAATTGAGGATGATACCCATTTATATAATTTTATACACATGATAATTGAAATTTATTGGCTAAAATAAAATTTTTTAAATTTATTGTAGTTGATCATAGTTGATCGTTTTGAACATATTTGTATACTTTTTTTTTTTTTTACGTATACATTTACATCAAAATCTCTGACAAAACGATAAATATTTATCGTTAACTAATACGTATAGAGTAAGGGGATTAAATTAATCTGTAATTATTATTATGTATTAAAATTTTGAAACAAAATATTAAGATTTATAATACCATATAAGTTTTCGTAATTTATGAATGTCTTTCTTAAAATACAATACTACTATTATTGTACAAAAGTCTATCAAATTAACAAGTTCACATGGCTTTTTAATACGTAAGTATTTTGTTATGAGTTTTAAATCATTGTATACCTGAAACATAATAGGTCCTAGGTACTTTATGTTCGTAAAGTAGGTGATAATTTATTTCTTTATAATCACACAAAATATTTATCCTGTAACACCCGATTGAATGCATAAATTGTATTCCAAATATCTACGATAACCGATAACGATAAGTTAGTACAAAATCTCTTTTAATTGACCAAATAGTAAATAGTTGTTCCAAATTGGTTCAACAGATTCATGACTATAAAAAAAAAAAAAATTGAAAATTTTCAATATATAAATAATGTGCACACCACTACATAATTTACAAACTTGTTAAAATTTTATGGAGAACTAATATGCAGTTACTAATTACTGTATATTGATTGGTTTTATTACAGTATTATTCAGTACGTATTATTGCATTAAGAAATGTATTAAGGGGCATAGTATAGCGATAGAAAATTGCACTAAATAACTATAAATAGCAAAAACCTATTAGTATTAACGTTAAACCAATAAGAATACAAGTTATATAATATTTTAAGAAATTAGAGTTTAATTATATTAAAATTTTATTGAGCAAAGAGAGTGGAACGAAGCAAGCATAAGAAGCGATTCAAAAAAAAGTAAAATGCCAAGAACCAGAGATTAAGCGAATTAAACCAACAAGGTACACTACATGCATACATATAAACGACGTAAAAAACATTAAATTCTAAATTTGAATTAACACAATGTAATAACGATAATTGTGATTTTTTTATATTTATAATGAAGAGCATCACCTGCATAAATCCATTCAAAATTATCAAGAAATAACGATCGTTTTATATAATTATAAAATTTAATTGTGGCACGTGAAAGCCAGTTCTTCGGAGTGAATGGATTGGATGTGTATAACAAACAATCGATTGATGGGTTCTTGGCATGTAAATTAGAGATTATTCTTTGCATGTAAATTTAAGATTATTCTTGGCATCTAAATAATTACCAATTACAGATTATTTTCTGCAATGGAGGTATTTTATTTATTTTTTATAAAAATAAACAAATTTAATCATTAAAGTCAATAAACCGAGAATTGTGAAATTTTTAAAAATTTATAATTTTGAATAATTGAGAATTAGAAATTATAAACATTCGTTACGACTAACAGCGTAATTCCAGTAAAGTATATCAGATATGATCGTATAATTATTATGATAGCACACAATCCTAATACTGAGATATGAGATAGTTAGAAATCAGACCAGGAATATTTATATTCTCGGAAATACAGTAAACGTGTACGTATAAAAATAATTAGTTCGTGATTAAATAAACAATCTGCACATAATGTAAATGATTCTCATGATAGCATAGCATTTATAAACGATGCATTGATTCATCTACTATGTAACGTAGAAAAAGTCTACTAGGTACGTAACAGTACGTACTGTACGTACTTATTTGTGTCACGCTAACTCTTTTTAGATTTCCGTTTCATTAAAAAAAATTCGAAACATTAAACGTCGATATTTTTAATAATATTATGGAATCCAAATTTGTTAATATATTCACACTATATTTAAAAATAGCAAGTTTTGTGATTATGTACTGGTATTATAATAATGGAATATAAGTATATGTTAATGCATATTTTTAGTGTAATAAAATTTTCGGTCAATTACTATAAAAAAGACAGCCATCACTATCGACTCCTTAAACCTTTGGTTAAATTTTTTTTGTTTTTCAGTTTGAAAATTTGAAATGATTTATATATCTAAAGAAAAGTATTAATTGACTTAATAATTCCTTTAAGATATATAAACATAAAAATATTTCTTGGTTGACTATCGTAAACATTAGTCTTTCAATAAAAAACTTGTTTTAATCATCTTGACTTTTAAATAAATAAAAAAATGATGTATTATAAAAACTTGTTAACAACAATATATATTACTTTAGTGGTGTCTGTTACGACTACCACTGCAGCTGTAACAAATTTAACAGGACTGCCACCAAACTTCCCACAAACCTATCCTACACTCGATACACCACCAGAACCAGTAGCTCCTTGGACAGCTTTGGTCGATAAATCAAAATTACCAGCTGCCCCTGTTAATCTAATCGGTTACCCTTGTGCCGCTGTTGACACTTTTTGTTCTTTCATGTGCACGAGTTGTTCCAGACCAGAAACTGACATAACTTATTGTCCAGCTATAAAAGGTAATAAAAATAAAGAATAAAAGAATAAAAAAAAAAATGGTTAAGATGAATATTTATAACTTTTATTCCTTTTTTAAAAAATTTCTTAAAGATTGGGGGTTAACGTACGATGACGGCCCTTCGTGAGTATTTTAAGTAAATTCTACTTTATCAATCATTTTTTATATTTATTAATATATATATATCTATATTTTTAATTTATCGAAATTTAAAGGGTCAATACGCCAAAAGTTCTAGATCATCTCAAAGTAACTGGTCAAAAAGCCACATTTTTCGTTATCGGCTCTCGTATTATGCAAAATCCAGAGATTTTAAAACGAACCGTAGCCGAAGGTATAATTAATTTTTTTTTTACATAATTCCGATAAAGCAAAAAATTTTGGCGGTCACGTGATCTACGAGACATCGTAAGATTATATTATTAGTTTCAAATATATGACTCTTCATAACATTAGTTCAGCCCGATTTAACTCAGGGATCATTGGACAGTCAAATTTTTGCGTCATTACCATTACATCAAACTAAACAACTATAATATATATGAAATTTCATATAAATTATTTTTTTTACAGGTCATCAAATAGGTATACATACATGGTCTCACACTCAATTAACTACACAAAGTACAGATACAATTATTGCAGAATTAAAATATACAGAAACGTTGATTAAAAACGTTACGAACTTAACTCCAAAACTAATGCGTCCTCCAACAGGTGATCTAGATGATAGAGTTCGAGGAATTGCACGACAATTAGGTTATAAAATTGCACTTTGGAATCATGATACATTTGATTGGAAATCATTTGGTGACCCAAAATATGATTTAAATTGGATCACTGATAATTTCACAATATGGGCACAAAATAAATCGACGATTGGGGTCATATCTCTCGAACATGATTTATACAACATCTCTTCATCTAAAATACCTGATGCTATTGATATAATAATTAAATATAATTATACATCAAAACAAATTTCAAATTGTGTTCCAAATACTCCAGCTTATGTAGAAAATGTTACTTTGCCTATGCCAGATGCAGTATCATCATCACCTTCAGGCACAAATACAAATTCGCCAAAAAAATCATCAGCAGAGATACATGTTCCCGGTTTTTTGGCAATAATTGTTTCAATTTTAGTGATTACTGGGTCTATATTCATTAAATTGGACTGAAAAACATTCTTTTTTTACATCTTTTTTTTTTCAAAAAATTTATTATTCGGAATTTTGTTTTATTAAGGTAATATGCGTATTTTTTTAGAAGTATCTCTTACATAATAAAATTTTTGATTAGGCAAAAATTTCTATTTTGTATGTTTTTTTAATAATTATTATGTACATATAGTATACATTAAAATGCGTATCTGGTATTGTACTTTAGACAAATAAGTATAAATTGAAAAAATCGTCGTAGTTTTTTTTTTAAAAAAAATAAAAATTATTTAAGATCTCTTGATTTTCAAGACTGAGACAATACGAGAACTTAATCTTTATCAAATAAGTATTTGATTTACTAGACCTAAGAATAGTACGTACAGTATTATTATATATATATATTATTATTATAAAGTAATATCATTACTATTTCTTGAAATTTTGCGTTACGTAATAAGATTTTTAATAAACTTTTGATTTAAAAAAATAGAAACATTTTTCAAATCATTCAATTCGTTTAAAAAAACGAAAGTTCTTTTGTTACGAGATGTTACTAAATATAGTCAATATACATTAAGTACTTAATTGTTATTTCAAAAATGCATAGCCCTGACCACTTACGTGTTGCATCGGGAAATTTTTATTTATGCATGGTTAACCTTTTATTATTCATTAGCGTCTTTAGGAAATCGCCAAACTAATCATAAATACCTCAAAGTGTCAGGTACGTTAGTACGTAGAGTGGGTAACTAATGTAAATCTCATCTTAATTGTATAACAGATACACTTTGTTAATTAAAAAAAAATTTATTTATTATAGTTATAGGTTGTCGCTCAATTCCCCGAAAACTACTTACCCGACCGAACAGACAGTCCATTTACCCGATATCACATAGAGTGACAATTTAGCATTTAGTTAACTATAGGTATATTTTATTAGTAAATTTTATTAGTAAATTTTCACCTCATGTGATGTCGGGTAAATAGACTTTCGGGTAAATAATTTTCGGGAAATCGTACTGTAACCATCGTTATACTCTTTTGGGATATTCATCCTTGTTCATATTAACATAGGTTCTTTCATATTTTACCTCGTAATATATACATGAAACGATATAAAGGAAATTTTTACCGAGTTAATTTAATTTTTTATATGATTATTCATATATTTGTCTTTTTTTTTTTTTTTCTTATAAAGTAATTTATATATATATATATTTTTGACATTCTGATTAACTTTTACTTAATATATGCCAATATCAATTCACTTAGTATAAATCTTAAAAATTCACCCTTTAATTGAGTATACTATAAATATTTTTTATATATACCGGTAATTCCTGATCAGCTTTGGTACTATATATAATTTACTTAGGGGGTATGTAACTTAAAATGAAAATTTCATAGTCAAATAAATTACCCTAACTTTATTTATAAGTTTTATTGTTACATGTCTCCCTAAATAATTTTAAATGTTATTTTTAAACATTTTAGAAGACAATTAAGTTTTTTTTATAAACTCCTACATTATTAAAAAGTGTCTATTATGGAATAGATCTTAAATTTTAATATCATTTATCGATCAGATAAACTTAAAATTCTATGTTGTACTTACAGGTTCTTTTTAAACAATAATCGTTTCTTGGCAGGAAGTAACTAATTTCTTTTAAATTATATAGATCTTTCATTAATGTATATTAGATATGCTTTGATTATTTTATCATGAGATTGTCGTGCTTGATGTTGCTGCTTACTTGAAGTTACTGATTCAAGCGATTGACTTACTTAATGCAAGATCTTGTTTCAGGTGCTTAATTTCGGTCATGTGCGCCTGTCTATAATAGGAAAGAATATAATTATTTTGAGTGAATGTTATTGGTTCTAAATTACTTAAAGTAGGGATAAATGGTGATCTTTGATAAACCGAGATCTGAAATTACATTATAGAAATAATTCTAATTCTGGTTAGATTGGATCAGGGACACTCGATTTGAATCGATCATATACGTATAAAAACGATATTTTTTGGGTCAAAATGATAGGCATGATTCATAATTCGGGTCAGATAATGTATTTAACGACCTTCTTAATAAAAATATACAACTCACAGCATGTTATAATAAAGTCATTAAACTGAGCAAACAAATCTTTATTATAGCTTATATCGAAATAATACTATGTATCTCTACTTATCGAGTTGAAGTTTAATAATATTAGAATTCAAATTATTTTTTATTGGATATTTTGACCCCCCCCTCCCTCCTTTTTATTAATAAAAAATTTCAAATTTAATATACTCTCTAGACCCTTACCCCCTAAAATATCACGTAATAAATGTCGTTACCCATATACCGATAAATATTTTTGTCAAATCAAATCGATAATTTTCCGTGTCCTTAGATTGGACCATTAATCCTTGATCTCATGATCCGGATCGGATCTCCCTACGTAAAGTAAATATAATTAACTTTACGTTTTGTGCCTTATATAACTATATTAGGAATAACGTTAAATTAATAACTTTACGTTACTTAGCCAACTTCCGTTACTCTGTATATTTAGATAAAGAATTAATGGTTTTGTAGCCATGGTTATTGTAACCGTTATATTAAAATTTGAAAGAGACTAAAACCAATTATTTTTTTCTTTGAAGTTAGAGTCAGGGTTAGCCTGAGATTAGGACTAGAGCAAGGCATAGTTAATACCAAAATTTTGCAAGGAATTTTTTTTTTTTTTTGTTAGAACGCAAAGAATATACCTGATCCTGAAATTTGATTGGCTTTACTGGTTGTAATAATCCTTACATATGAGCGCTTTTTCGGAATTGTAATTAGGGTTAGTGTTTTTTTCAACTTTAATATTAAATAGTTTTAATACATAAGTTTGTTTAAAATAATTTTATTACTATTATGTTCATCTCTTTGAGACGATTCTAATAAGCCCAAAATTATTCAAATATAATCACATGATCATGAGATAATCAAATAAGTGACTCACCTTATATGGGTTGTTGCATAGCAAAACCATGCTTAGAACTTATAAAATATATATACTCTAAGCATGGTTTTGCTATGCAACAACTCATATGCTGTACAATTGGTTGGATCTAGAACTAACCAATTGTACAGCATATAAGGTGAGTTACTTATTTGACAGCATATTATCACACGATCCTGTAATTATATTTGAATAATTTTAGGCTTATCGGAATCGTCTCAAAGAGGTAAACATAATAGTAATAAAATTATTTTAAACAAATTTGTATATTAAAATTATTTAATTTTAAAGTTTAAAAAAAAAACACTAACCCTAATTACAATTCCAAAAATTAGCTTATGAATTTGTAGGAACTAGTGAAAAAATCATGTGATTTTTACTATTAAAATTTGTTATTTGTTTTGAATTCGGCATTTTTTGATTTTTACTTCTAATTAAAGTTGTAAAGAAGGAAATTGCAGTCATGATAGTAGTTAAACTGCTAAAATTAGCTTAGTGAATCATAAGATATAAGTATTTTAGTCTTTGTAACTATATATATTTTTTTTTTTTTTTTTTATTTTTTATTATAATGCCAGTATAGAAAAATTATTTTAGTACAATTTAAATATCAAGATGATACTATTTATAACTAAG